CTCTACCCAGGGGGATAGCTTGAGGCTCTGTCTCAAAAAAAAAAATTTTTGGTCTATATGGAGCAACAAAAATTTTCATAGAACGCAAAAATAGTATTGTAAGATATATTTTTTTAATTTGACATACGTACAATTTACAAATATAATACATTAAAAAAAAATCATGTATGGGGCCACGCCTGTGGCTCAAAGGAGTAGGGCGCAGGTCCACCTGGGCGACCTTGCCCAGGATGGGAGTAGGAAGTTTACAATAGCCTTTTCATTTCCAAATGAAGTTACATTAACCTCTTCATTCCCAAATGGAGTTACATTAACCTTTTCAGCTGCCAAGTATATTCCCTTCCCATTGTCATGCTGTTCCCTAGCTTGTCATGCATTCTTTCCAAAAATTGGGACTTTTTATAAAACACCGCTGGACGCATGACAAATTGTTAAAAATCGGGACTGTCCTGTCAAAAGCAGGACGTCTGGTCACCTTAATTATTAAGCATATTTTTATAGTATTCTTTAAATTAGCAAACCATTAAGACCAATCTGAAAAGTATCCTTTAATTGCTTTCTAATTTTTTCAGTCAGTATGAGTCTCTTTTTCAAACATGTCTTTGTAATTTTTTTTTTTGTTTTGTTTTTTGAGACAGAGTTTCACCATGTCGCCCTTAGTAGAGTTCTGTGGCATCACAGCTCACAGCAACATCCAACTCTTGGGCCTAAGCAATTCTCTTCTCAGCCTCCCAAGTAGCTGGGACTACAGGTGCCTGCCACAATGCTCGGCTATTTTTGGTTGTAGTTGTTATTGTTACTGTTGTTTTGCTGGCCCGAGCTGGTTTTGAACCGTTTTGAACCCACCAGCCTCTGTGTATGTGGCTGGCTCCGTAACCACTATGTTCTGGGCACCAAGCCAGCAACCTCAAAGTCTTATGCATATGCAGTTCTCTTGCCTCAGCTTCCCAAGTAGCTGGGACTACAGGTGCCCACCACAATGGGTGGCTATGTCTTTTTTTTTTTTTTCCGAGACAGAGTCTTACTTTGTTGCTCAGGCTAGAGTACAGTGGCAGGATTCTAGCATACTTTAGCCTTGAACTCATGGGCTCAAGTGATCCTCCTGCCTCAGCCTCCCCAGTAGCTGGGACTTTACAGATTTGTACCACTATGCCTAACTAATATAATCTTTTACTTTTTGGTAGAGATAAGGGTCTTGTTATGTTGTCCAGTCTGGTCTCAAATTCCTGGCCTCAAGTGATCCTCCTGCCTTGTTCTTCCAAATTGCTAGGATTATGGGTATGAGCTACTGCACTGTGCCCTCTGCCAGTCATTCTATGAAAACCTTTTACTTTCCCTACTCTTCCAACTATTGTTGAAAGATTCTTGATAACTATTTAGGGTACCAATTGTAAAACTACTTTTTAATTTTTAGGGATAAGAATTTAGAAGATAATTTCTGTGAGATTACAGGTAAGTAATACAATCACAGATTCACTATTATTTCTTTCAAACCTGCTATTCCTCCTATTTCCCTATATTCAGCTTCCACTCACTCAGTCATTGACTGAAGTCAGGTCAGGGATTGAGGAGTTATTTTGATTTCTTCCTTTATTCCTTGTATCCATTCTGTTTTAAGCGATTCTCTTGCCTCAGCCTCTGAAGTAGCTGGAACTACAAGGCGCCTGCCACAATGCTCGGCCATTTTCTGTATATATAAGATATATGCCGCTATATATCTTGTATACCTGTTATCTACTAAATTTTTTCTATTCCTTCTGACACTGCTTTAATTCAAGTCCTTCCTCATTTTTTTCTTGGGCTACTATATTTAGTTTTTTATTCTTCCCAATTCATTCTCCATATATCTAAATCTGATTGTATTTCTTTTCTGTCTAAGGTGGTTCAATGACACTTTTTGCTTATAGGATAAAGCCCACACTTCTTAGCAGTAATTTAGAAAGTCTTTTTATAGGCTGAACACGGTAGCTTATACCTGTGATTCTAGCATTCTGGGAGGCCACGGCAGGTAAATTGCCTGAGCTCAGGAGTTCAAGACCAGCCTGAGCAAAAGTGAGACCCCATTTCTACTAAAAATAGAAAACTAGCTGGGCATGGTAGCACTTGCCTGTAATCTCAGTTACTTGAGAGGCTGAAGCTAGAGGGTCTCTTGAGGCCAAGAGTTGGAAGTTGCCGTGAGCTATGATGCCATGGCAGCACTCTACCCAACCCAGGGTGATAGAATGAAACTCTGTCTTAAAAAAAAAAAAAAAAAA